CCATTGGTTCGTAGCGGCATTAACCTCGCTGAATAATTTCTTATTCTGTTTAATTTCTTTTTAAGACATATTAGTATTTTATACTAATATAATCTGTTAGATTTAAAAACTGAATATGTTTTGAACTCCAAAGATTTAAGAATATTTGATCTTGAAGAAAATTACAAAACAGGGAATTACAAGGATGATGAGAAACAGGAGTGGATGGGACTAAAACAAAACAAAATAGAAATTAGAGGGCTAGCTGCACCGTTATCAACCCTGCTATGTATAGCATGGTCGGTTGATCTCACTTGCTGTCCTCTTGTCTCTTCCTCTTTTGGCAATAAAGCAGAGTGATGTGGAGACAAGCCTAGCGATCCTAGAGTTTCTTACATCAGCAACTACCACCTGTCATTTATCATTTGTTGTTCATTGGATAAATGTTAGTTCTAGGATTAGGATTTCTATATCTTATTTATAATTTGCTAGATGAAAAGTTAAAATATTTATAAATTATTTATTGTATCTTGGAAATCCATTATCTTATTATTATTTATTTTTTAATAAAAAATAAAATAGTTTATATATATATATATATATCATACTTACTTTAGTTTTTCCAATTAAGCATGTTTTTATATTTTATGTAATTATTTTATTTTATAAAAAACAATAATCAAATGCAAGGATTTCTATACAGGTTTATTTAATAACATGGGCTTTTACACCTGATTTAAAATTCAAATTACAAATATTTACCACATTATAAATCCAAATTTCAACCTTGTGTTTGTTTGCTTAAAACAAATTAGTGAGATTTACGAAATAATTTAATCTAAAAGATAACATAAAGCTGCTGATGTAAACAAACTCACAATATTATAATATCAAAGATGCTAATGATGTGTAATTAACATTAACCTCAAAGAACAATTTCAATCATCTTTCTGGGCTCGTCATAAGAATAAGAGATAAAACATATATAGATGGCCCTTAAAACGAGCCCAAGACCCTGAGCTGACCCAAGTTACTCACTGTCGTTTAAGCTGAGGTTTTTCCTTGTCACCATCGTTTTGGTCTAAAACCCTCGTCTCTCATTGCCGTCTCCACAATCACGTCGGGCTTTGCTTTGATTAACGAATCTGTAAAAATAAAAAAAGATTGGAGCTTTTTGAACTCTACCCGTTTCCGGAAAGTGGGTTTTGATATCAGCTAGGGTTTATTCAAAGCAAAGAAGATTTTAGCTCTGAAAGTTTCAGGTACCCTTTTTTTTTCTTGATTCAAAGTTTCCATCTTTTCATATGGCAATCTCTATTCTTCTGAATGTTTACTGTTCTTGACTCTAAAGTTCTGGTTTTTATTGCCTTTTTTTTATAATTTTTCCGCTTGCCTTGTTGCGCTACTAAGTATGTGATTTTCAACACCAATTATTGTGTTTTTAAGAGCAAGGATGGCAGTTGTTTTGTTTAATTTTGATTTTTTTTCTTAAACAGGAGGAAGAGCAACAAAATGTCATCCTTAAAGAATGCTATTCCTAGGAAGGCTCACAAGGAGAGAGCACAACCGTGAGTCATGCTTTGTTTTCCAGTTTTGGCGATTCTTGTCTTTGTGTTGATTTTGTTGTTGTTGTTGTTGTTGACTTGATTTTTGGATGCCAGTCAAGCAAGGAAGAAATTTGGGCTGCTTGAGAAACATAAAGACTATGTTGCGCGTGCTAAAGCTTTTCACAAAAAAGAGGAAACTTTGAGGGTTAGATTTAATTTAGATCGAACATTCCGATTTGTTAGGTTTGATGATTTGTAATGTTATGGTTCATGTTGCTAAATTCTTGGCTGTGGCTGTGGCTATGGCTGCGATATGTTTCTTTACAGAGGCTTAAAGAGAAAGCAGCATCGAGAAATCCTGATGAGTTTTACTTCGGAATGATTAAGAGTAAAACAGTTGATGGAGTTCATCGGCCACAGTAATACAATACTTATTTGTTATTTGCTTACATTTTTTTTGTGTTTTTTTTAATTTTTAATTTTAATTTTTTTGTTATTGTAGGAGTGAAGCTAACAAATACACTCAAGAAGAACTATTGTTGATGAAGACGCAAGATATTGGATATATCCTTCAAAAAGCACAAAGTGAGAAAAAGGTGAATGATTCAGTCACAGTTTTACATTCTGTTTCTGGTTACTTAACGTTTTCTAAATGCTTTCTTCTCACGATCATTTTAAACGTAATGGCTGCTGCAGAAAATTGAAAAGCTAACTGCCACATTGCACTCGCTGGATGGCCAACCCTCGAGCAAGCATGTTTACTTCGCTGAAGATAGGTTTGAACTTCCCAGTCACTTATTGTCTCCAAAAAGTTGTATATGCTGCTGACATTTAGTGCCAAAGAAAATTGATGAAGACCATTACTTGAGGCATTTATGTGTTGAACTTAAATGGAAATAATGCATTTCTATATATAAACTATAAAGTTTTGTACCAAGTGACAATTGGCTTGGTCACTGACTTCCCATTGTTTGTAGTTCACTAAATCAATGCTCTTCTGTCATTCATGATGGTATTAGTGATACAAGCTAGAGTATAATGATGAGATCTAGCTTATTATTTCTACAGTGATAAAACTTAGCCTGCTGTTTTTCTTGTCAACTCGAGCTAGAGCCTAAGGGCAACATGCAAACTTGCTTTGTTTTTTTCTCTCATCCTAAATTCATGATTGGTGTTCTCTTTTCGTGGTAATTGATTCGTCATTGGACATGTATCCTCATTACTCTTTGTTTCATATCTTGCAGGGAGGAGGCTAAAGAAATAAGATCACGATCTTCAAAAAATAAAATGGCAACTACTTCTGTTGATGTCCCTGATAATATTAAAAGGTAAAGGATGACTTTTGTTTTGTTAGACAAATTAATCTTGGGTTTGTTTTTCCCTTGTTGAACTTGATTGATCATTTTAAGAGGTAGAGAGGATTTATGCCTCTTTTGATATGATCATGAAATCATTTACATAGAAATTTACACTCATTAGTATTCACAATCCTAACTATCCGCTGCAATACCAATGCACTATCATTTAATTTAGTTGGAATCTTCCAAGAGTTGCACTTTGTTGGTTTTGTAAAACATAGCAGCTGAGAAGAAAATTTTCTTGAATTTAACTCACCATGTTAGCCAAGTGTTAGGAGCACTGAACCTTGTCCATGGTCTTGCCTGTTTTTGGCTGTAATTCTCCTTGGTACATGCAAGCATCTCATGTTTTCCTTCAACCCTACAGTCCTCTGATTGGGGTCAAGCATGCGAGGCATGTGCAAACATGCGATGTCCCTGGAGGTGAGTTTGAGCTGGAACATGACCTCTCCCGCCATCAAGGCCTTGAACTTTGTTGAACCCCCTTTTGCTGCTGGAAACTTCCAGACTCTGGAGGCTTAAGAAATATAAGATAATTCAAACATATGTCATGCTAATAGTTGATACCATAGGGTGCCATTTTCTAGAAACTATTGAGGCTGTCGCATAGTTTTCTGTCATATAGTTTTTGGTCATAAGCTTATTTATTAGTTTATTGACCACCACCAATCTCCTCGAGAGAGTTTGTGGTTTAGATCATTTAGTTTGTTGTTAATCTATGAAACTTTTCCAGTCAGTATGTTCTTTTGTACTCTAGTATAAGCTAGTTATATTGTGTTTGTTTCAAGTCCCACTGTATCAGTATTGTTGTTCCATGGGCAGGAAAATAGCCAGTTCCTACAGAGAGCTCGAGGCCCGGAAGAACCGAGCAAACCAGTTGGAGAAAATATATATGGATATGGCACTGCAGAAGGAATTGCAGGTATCCAGTTCTTGCTTTTACTTCACTGTATTAGGTTATTCATATAGATCTCGAAATTGAATCTTCCATTTAATGTTCAGAAAAAGGGACGAAAGCGCAAGCTGCGTGAAGATGAGATTGTCTGTCCAACTACGAAACCTGTATTCAAGTGGCGTTCAGAACGAAAGCGGTGAAAGGTGTACGTTGAGCTGTTGGTCTCTCTATCAATCTGTTTATGGATGTTTAAGCTTGGTGCATTTGCATATCGTAGGAGTTGATGGTGCTGGGTCATACTCTTGCCGTTGGACCAACATTTAAGCTGAACGTGAAGGCTTCAAGTCAGCTGGGAGATCTGACAGTCCAGTTAAGATGGAATGAAATCATGGTGTCATTCAAATGCAACCTGTTGTACCAATATTTTTTATAGTAAAGCCTTTAACTTCATTTGAATGGTATGTGTTGATCATTTGAAATTGAATTCATGTTTTTGTCATATATTGATTCAACTCTGAAATTTTGTTGTTTTTTTAAAATATTTTTTATTTGAAATTATATTAAAAAAATATTTTTTAAAAAAAATTACTTTTAGTATTTACTAAATAATCTAAAAAAAATAATTTTAAACAAAAAAAAAATTCCAGTTTTTGCCAAATTTAGGCTGTTTTTCCAAACCTTTACCCGCTTTCAAGGGGTAGGCAGTTATGTACATTTTGAACTCACAGAACGACATGTCTTCCTTAATCTGTCCCCTTCAGGTGGAACCCTTTGTTTTAACTTTTAAAAAAACTTGTAAAGATATCAGTTTAAAATGACGGGAATCAATTCAAGAAACTTTAAAGTGGTTAATGACTCAAGTCGGGGTTTATTGCTGTTATGCTCTCGTGAACATCGTTTCTCGCTCAAAATCTAGTACAAGGAATCTCTTAAACATTTCTTTTTAGAAAAAATCCAAAAACTAAAATCATAAAAGGTGTCGTGATCCAGCTTCTATTTTTAAGACTATTCCAACGTTCGTTTCTTTAAAAAAAAAATCAAAAAGAAAAATCACGAAAGGTGTCGTGATCCAGCTTCTATTTTTAAGACTATTCCAACGTTCGTTTCTTTAAAAAAAAAATCAAAAAGAAAAATCACGAAAGGTGTCGTGATCCAGCTTCTATTTTTAAGACTATTCCAACGTTCGTTTCTTTAAAAAAAAAATCAAAAAGAAAAATCACGAAAGGTGTCGTGATCCAGCTTCTATTTTTAAGACTATTCCAACGTTCGTTTCTCACATAAAGAGAAGAGGAGGATTTCTAATTCTTTCACGTTGGCATTGCAATATTAGTTAACGACTGACTTGTAGCCGACAATTCCAATAAAAAAAGATGGCTCTGTGTCAGACAGCACTTTCTGATGCCATGAATAAAAAAGGAAGTTTACTTTCTCATAAGGGGCCAAAACATTAGTTGTTGTGGCAGGCGGGCACAAGATGGCTGAGAATGGGATTGGAGAGTCTTTGTTGAGGAAGAACAAGTATTATGAGGACTGCCCAGGTTGCAAGATTGAACTTTCCAAAGAAACCAACACTGGTGTTCCTTTCAAGTATTTGCTCTATGTCTGGATTGTTGTCCTTTGTGCAGGTTAAGCATCATTCTATGGCTAAGATCTTTTCTTGTTCGTGTTTGATTTATTTTTAAATTTTGTTTCTTATTTGTGCAAGTAGAGATAGCTAGCTATATGTACTCGTCCATTTCCGTTGGATGATTGGCTCTCTCAAGAGGTATTATCATAATTGGCCCTTTCAAGTGGTAATGGTATTATCCCACCTTGGACTCATGGCCTTGTGGTGGGTTTTGTTTTAAAAAGACTCTCTTCGTGAGAGGTGGTATCTGGAGATTTCTTGAATTGGTTTGCGTTGTCAATTGTTCAATTTGTTTCGTGTGATTGTTCAATGAAATGGTTTGTTTTGAGACATTGTTCAGGCAAATGTTGTTGTTTACGAGGAAACAAGATTTTTTATATTCTAGAAGGTCAGGGATTTACACAAAATTTTGCTGCTAATGAAGTTTTCATTTCAGAATCCAATCTTGCAGTAACATCTGTTAAAAGCAGCAGTTGATTGTTGATTTGTTGTGGCATGAGTAACTTGGCCTAGTATAATCATGTGTCAAGAGTTGTAATGATTTGGTCCATAATCTAATTAGGTGGTTAGGTCCATGATTATTTAAGAAAGCTGACCGAAAAAGAGCAGTTTTCTTTATATAAAAAATGTGTTTTCTCTGAAAAAGAAGGGAAAAAAAAATCACCTCAACTCAAAACAACTGGAGCGTGTCAAGATGGATGGAAATGGGATTGGAGAGTCTTTCTTGAAGAAGAAGAAGAAGTACTATGACGATTAACTTTTCAAAGAAACCAACATTGACTTAACTTTTCAAAGAAACCAGCATTGGTGTTCCTTATAAACATTTGCTCTATGTCTGGATTGTTTTTCTTTGTGCAGGTTCACTGAAAATTTCAATGAATCATATGCTTTTTTTGAGAAATTGGAATTTCCCTCTAATATCTGTGTTTTGTGGTTTTGACTTTTACAGCTTTGCCTATATCATCTCTCTTTCCTTTCCTCTATTTCATGGTGAGCATGTTATTCTGAAAAGTTCTATTTATATTACTACTTGAAATGAAAGTAGGCTTACTTGAGAATTGAGACTGATGGTTCACATACCTATAGCTTGTGGAATTTTTTCCAACGTTTAATTAGTGGAAAGGAGGGGGAGGGGGAGGGGATGGGGTTAACAGAAGAATAACACCAGAATAAATGGAGCATCTGTGCTGGACAGTTTCATTGTCTTACACTTGATTGCAATGAAATTGCTTATGTTCTGTCCATAGGTAATATTGTGACTTTTTAATAATGCAGCATCATCCTGGAAGGGGACTCGGTTTTAATTGTTGGTTGATAGCAGGACATGCAAACCATGCTGCTTTTTGGCATGTTAATCCTTGTTGCCAATTTGACATCCAAATTAAGTAAAAGCACAGGCACTAGGGCGCCTTAGGACTCAGCTGACACATTTTCAAACTAGCATCACCAATGTACAATGGCTGCATAGCATTCCAAAGATACAGTTGAAGCACACATTTGTGGTTTTGAATACAGTTTGCTGATTGGACCATGATTATGAAAGAACTCAGAATCATAATGGACCTTTCAATCTACTCCTCTTTCACGTTCTTCACTCTACTTATGTTGTGATCTTGCAATTCTACAGATAAGGGACTTCCATATTGCAAAAAGAGAGGAGGACATTGGCTACTATGCTGGTTATGTGGGTGAGAAAGATTTTTATACGTGACTTGTTCTCAAGGTCTGTTTACATAAAGATCTTGTTCAAGCTCCTTATTTCTGAAGATATCATTCATTTCCTGAAGGATCTGCTTTTATGTTCGGCAGAGCTTTAACTTCTGTGCTCTGGGGAATGATTGCTGATCGATATGGTCGAAAACCAGTCATAATATTTGGCACAGTATCAGTGTTAGTATTGCTCTAAGCCTATTTTATGCGTGATTGTTCAAGAGTTCATCAACAATGTTCTCCTGGTTTGAGAATGAATTTTTCTTATCTGTGTATTTCTAACTTTCCTCTTATTTCAGGGTTATTTTCAACACCCTTTTCGGCCTTAGCACAAGCTTTTGGATGGCAATTTCTATGAGGTTTCTTCTTGGAAGTCTGTGTGGCATACTTGGTCCTATGAGGGTACTTTTCTTCTGAGATGTTTTAATGGCTTGCTATCTGAAAGTTCTATAGGATACAGTGTCAATCCCAAGTATAAATTAAATCATTGCATCTTCTTGGTATTGACTGAACGGTAATCCTCTGAGACCCCCCCTCTCTATCTGTGTACTGCTAGAAGATTTTTAAGCTGAAGGCCCTTTCTGCCTTGTCTGCTCTGTGGACGGCTTGTGGGCCATGTGGTTGTTTTGAAATGTTAAACAGTGCCCGCTACTCATTGGATGTTTGATTTGATCATTTGGCCTTTCTTCTTGTGTTACTTGGCAGGGTTACCTAGCATATTATTATTGTTCATGGATATGTAAATGTTTAACACTGCTTTTATTTCCTGTCTGTTATATTTAAATATGCTGAGTGCTCATTTGACCCAGGCGTATGCTTCAGAAGTTTGCCGTAAAGAATATCAAGCTTTAGGAATGTCAATTGTAAGAGAGCCTCTTCTTATGTGTTTGTTAAAGATTGATTGTAGCTTAGTAAGTATCAAATGGATTGTACTTGTTTCAGATCAGCACCTCGTGGGGCATTGGATTAGTTATTGGTCCCGCACTTGGAGGTTTTCTTGCTCAGGTATTTCTTGATGCACTGCTTATTGGAAGAAATATCACCGAGATGATAGTTATCTGTTTAACTCAACTACAATTACTTATTTATTAATTAATTTTGGAAATATTGACACTGTAGCCTGCAGAGAAATTTCCAAATATATTTTCTTCTGATTGTCTTTTTGGGAGGTAAGCATTAGTCCTTCAACTTTTTTACTTTAACCATATTTTATTCCTTATTGTTGTAATCTTTTGATTTTCATTTGTGCTAAATTTCCTCCAAATGGATGACATTACAGGTTTCCGTACCTGTTACCTTGCCTTCTGATATCAATCTTTTCTGTTGGTGTATTGGTCGTTTGTTGTTTCCTTCCGGTATGTTACTGTACAAACTGTTAAATTTGTATCTTGTTTGATTCTCTCTGATTGATGCATTACTATATACTGCTTAGAGGTCAGATGCTCAAATATGTTAATTAGATCTTCTTGATGCATGTTTATATGCTCTTCTTGTAAGAGCTTTATATGGTTTAACATGGAGCCTTAAAATTTCTGCAGGAGACGATACACAACCATAAAGGAAATGATGAAGAGTGCAATGATTCTGATGCACTTGTGGCCACCACATTTGAGTCCACCTCTTCTCAGAAAAGCCTGCTGAAAAATTGGCCCTTGATATCATCTATTATAGCGTACTGTGTGTTCCAACTTCATGACATGGCATATGCAGAGGTAATATTCACTCATGAAATCCTAGCTCATACATGTTATATTGTGAATTGGCCCTTGATATCATCTAACATGAATCCATCGATAAATACCATATTTTAGGTTAGTCAAGATGTATGCTCCTATTCTCTTAAATACTTCTGTCTTTCCATCAACTGTGCCAACCATGAAATTTCTATAATTTCTTTATTTATAATATTAAGGTCACTAAAGTACACTGGCAACTTCATTTTAGGATTATTTCCCCCCCTCCTGCCTTCTCCTTCTTTTGTAAATCACTTGATATGTTCTTGTTATAGAAGAATCAAAGGCTACTGATGTGATCAACTTAATCACATTTCCTTCCCAACTAACTGCCTTTGGATTTCTTTCTATCTTCCATGAAATTGGATGATAGCTTCCTCTGTGCTATGATTTATTAAAAAGCTTTCCCATGCCTCAGAAACTTACTCAAGGATGCCTGATTGCCAAGCCAGGCTTAGGTTTAATAGAGTACTATGTTTTTTCCCTGGAGCATGTTACCCATCTGGAGATTTTTTCTTTTAGTTAACAAATATGCTTGATCATAAATTGGTTATTTTCTTACCACAGATTTTCTCATTATGGGCTGTTAGTCCTAGGAAGAATGGGGGATTGAGCTTTTCCACTGCAGAAGTTGGTGAAGTTCTTGCATTTTCAGGTAGTAGATACTAGCCAGCATCATCATATAATTGATTAAGCTCATAAATTTTTTATCCCTTGTGAGGTCATCAATTCTGAAGTTATCAAATGTTATGGATATGATATCTCTCGCTTCATCACTTATTTATGTAGGCTTTGGACTGCTACTCTTTCAGCTATTTATATACCCAGTGGCTGAGAGAAATTTTGGACCAGTCATGGTATCTCGCCTAGGAGCAGTATGCCCTTAACACAATTTCTGCTTAAAAATAATATTGCATCCGTATTTGATCGAGTCCTCCTTTACATAAAATATTTTCTTATAATTTACATTAGAATATTAAATACTTTCTTGCCATTTGTGAAGGTCTTGACCATACCATTGCTATCTAGTTACCCTTTTATAGCTTTTCTAAAAGGCCTCATGCTCATGCTACTGATCAACTGCGCATCCATCCTGAAGAACGTGCTCTCTGTAAGTGCTTTGTATTTGAGCACTTAACATACTTATTTTAGTGTGCTGTTACTTTGTGTTGTCAATTGGGTTCATACTTGCTATCACTATTTGTTCTTGTTAGATATTGATGCCTCTTGTAAGACATTTTTCTGATGGACCTGCTGAATTTGTAGTCCTTAATTCTGGTCTACAAGCTTTCCCAGTAACTTTTCCAATGTCCTCTCCACCCAAAAAAGGACATAGAAAACTTTATTCAACTAGCATTTAGCTGAAATTTGGGTTCACAAGCTTCCCTACTTACTTTCTCAATGTTCTCTCCACCAGATAAAGGATCTAAACAACTTTACTAGCATTTTGCTGAAAATTTCTTTTTTTGTAAAGCTCAGATGTGAATATATATTGGCATGCTATGAATGCCACTTCGACCATGGACTTGTAGCACTAGACTTGTTTACACATTGAACTTCAAATGGGAGTTTTCTTTTTATTTTATTTTTTTCTCTTGAGAAGGTAAAAAAAGGAAACTTATTTATATCATCCGTTCTGTTAATAAAATTATCAATCAATGTTTCATCAACCTCTTCCATTTCTTTATGACTCATGTAGGTATCAATCACAACAGGATTGTTCCTTCTGCAAAATAGATCAGTGGTAACTTTACCTTCCTTTTCCCTCTATGTTTTTCTCTTTATCTTGCATCTTAGCAATAGGCTATCGGTAGATGACTTCATTTTGTAAAATACGTTGCTTGAACTTAATGTCAGACACAACAACAAAGGGGTGCCGCAAATGGAATTTCAATGTCTGCCATGTCCCTTTTCAAAGCAATTGGTCCTGCAGCTGGAGGTTCCCTGTATGTATCCTTTTGAATCTCGATTGAATGAATTGGCTAGTTCTATTTTGTGAGATTCAAATCGTTGCTGAATTATATTAATCTGGTTCTAGAAGCTAAGAACTATGAAGCATGTTTGAAGGGTGTTATATTTCATGCTCAAAAAATGAACCAGAACATGCATCTACCGCATATGCTAGTGACAATTCTCCATCATGGTTTCTTGTGGAAGTACCTCCTATCCTCAGCCTTCATAGTGATGAAGGACTGATGGAAAATCATGAGAAAATAGAACATAGGTCTATTTATTCCCTTTTGCCAGTAATTAGCACCATTCCTTAATCAAGCTGAATACCAACTTTTGGAGCTATTCATGTATAAGAAACTGAAATGAAGGATTCACCTATGATTGAAAGGAGGCCTAACAAGTCCAAATATGTGTTCTTTAAATGGGTTTGCTAGCATTGATTTCATCTGACTCAATTTATTGTCAGAGACAAACAGCAGTTACAGTCAGTAAACTGTAATTTTGCCCGCATGTTTCTCTTCAACTGCAGTAGAGGACAGCATTAAGTACTCAAAAAGGGTACTTAAAAGGATTTTTAAAGTCTTTATGATGGATTGAGGGAGTAAGAAAAGAAACTAAGAAAAGATCCTCGTCTATTGAACTCCCAAGAACATATTATCACTTTGCATTACACCAAACATGGTTACACTGATATCTTGAAGTGTCATTGGAATACAACCAAGGTGCCTAACCTCAGACTCCTAACATGAACCAATGCATAGAACACTAAGGACTCCAAACATTCTAGTGTCCCTTATTGGTTCATCCAAACATTCAGGAACATCCTATAGAATTTTTTGGGGCTAAAGGAAATAGACGATGCCATTTATCCTGCAAGTGGATTTCATGGGATAATTATGTGTGCATCATAAGCCTTTTTCTTAAATTATCTTTTTATCTAAAAACTTGCTCAGCAGTATGTCACACTGATCGATGCTTTCTTTATTTACAGCTTTTCTTGGGCACAAAAGCGTCAGAGTGCATTTTTTCTCCCAGGTAAAAAACTCTGCAAATGCTCTTTCCCATTCCTTTGAAGATGTGCAGGTTCTATAAAGAACTCTTAGACTAGTTTTCTAGGTGACAGGCAAGGGCAAGACCAATTGTTCAGAACACCTAATTGGAATCGATAGATTGGTTATAAATCTGATTGCCCTCAATATTGAAAGTTGAAACAGCCTCTTAAAACTAGTCAGGGAAGTCATAACCTAGTAATTTCCAGTAGATTTTTTGATGGAACGTGGTGGGCATAAAATTTTTGATATTTCATTTTCTCTGTAACAAATTTCCAGTAAAACAAAGATTAAAGCTTCGTGCTAGTAATTGTAACTGCAGAATACCCCATCCAACGGTAGAGTCATGATACAAAAAAAATCAATGCTTCTAAAGCTGTAGATCATTACCAACTACCAATTTGCCTTTCCTATGCAAGCGATAATCCTCCCAAGTGTACTTAGACCCCACAGCTTCACCAGATAGTAATTTCCCTGTAAGATAAACTAAAGAAGGATTCTGATGCCATGAAGCTACAATCTTAGGAAGCACATCTGTAGTAACATAAGAAACTGTTATTTCCCTAGACAAAGTATCTGCCACGTTGTTCTCCCTCCCTTATATTATTTTCTGGTAGAATCATTTCAGAACCTTTCATCTAGTAACCCAGGCTTCATCTAATCTACTCTCCGACTTTCTAATGTAAAACCTTAATTAGATTGCCATTTTTGCAATGCAGGTGATCAAATGGTCTTCTTCCTTCTTAACATGATCGAGGTGATTGGACTGTTCTTGACATTCAAACCATTTCTAGCTCTTCCTGATGACAGCATTTCTTAGTTCTGTTTCAAAAGTTGACATCAACCAACAAATAAATAAATAAATAAACACTAGGAAACTGATTCCAAATTCTTTTTCCATAGCTAACCCATTCCTTCAACTTTGGCATACGCTCAACTGTATATTACCCCATGTTTCCCCATGTAATCAACCAGAAAACCACAGAAGATTTGCTCTTCATGACAATTACAAATAAGTACCACTTGTCCTTGCTAATGCATATTTTTCTTCGAGCATGGAAGGATCAAGTATTAGTAACTTACATCTCCAGCAGTCTCTCCTTGTATTGTATACTTGTCAGCTTACAGTAATGTAATGGTTTAAAACAATTTTGCTGTGATGACAACGTCTAATTCCTTTTTCTTTACGTAGATTACACACACGTTTCATTTTCTTATTTTTGTGGGGTTGTAAAACGTTTGAAACCACTTCAGAGAATGTAGCCCCAAAAGCAGCAGCAAAAATGGTGATGCTGTCTGGTCTCACATAATTGATCATTAAACTCTCTAAACTGGTTCAATAATCTTTTTCCATTTGCTAATGACATGGCCTCAAAACAAATACACAGTGGACTTCGAATAATAATTATTAGTAGCATGTTTGTTTTTGCTCTTGAAATAATTAAAAAAATTATTTATTGTTTGAGTGTTTTAGATCATATTAAAAATAATTTTTTAAAAAATATAAAAAAATATCATTTTAATATATTTCTAAATAAAACCAATTTAAAAACAACAGTTACCATTTTTTTTTTTATAAAACCTCTAAAATTTCTTTTTTGAGCTGAGCATAATCCCCATGGAACAGATTTTCCCGTCTATGCATCATCTCTCTTGTTATTGTAATTACCCTTGTAAAGATGCAGCGCCTATCACCACCAAATCAAGCCAACAATCTCCACCACCCCATTTTGAAATCTCGCTATAACTCTAAGTTGAGGTTGCAGGATACCGTTATGGGTTTGGGGTGACTGTGGAGCTTGGAAGAGTGGTTTTGACTGCAGCGGTGGTCGTGGGGTTGTAGAGATGGCTCGTTTTTTTTTTAAAAAAAATAAATAAATATAAACCAGCAATAAAATCACCATGGAACGACGAGTCCTTGTTTTCAAATTGCACAGCTAATTCTTTTTTTAACGAAAATTTCCCAATTATTCTTTATTGCCTAACTAGTATTTGGAGATGACCTTGCAAGGTAGTCAGAGAAGCAGTAGTACAAGCAAACCCTATTGCCAAGCCGGCCATCAAATAGAAAACTGATTTTTGAACGCAATCTGGAGCATTATTTGTTTTGCGGCTCCAATAATTTTGCCATTAACTAACCTTTCCACCCTTGAAAGTTATGCAATATATAAAATATAATGGTTGCTTCAAACAACATGCAAGCAAAATATACGTGCAAGGAAATATTTGTGTACGCATAAATATGAAACCACAGAACACAATCCAAGCAGTGTTAACAAAGAAGAAACTGAAACCTAGCCTTGTTTTTGTACTCAGATTACCTGCAGAAATGGAGATGGGAAAGAAGAGGATGGCTGTTTTAGTAGGTTGCAACTATCCAGACACCCAAAATGAGTTGCATGGATGCATCAATGACGTGCTAGCCATGAAGGAAGTGCTTGTGAAACGGTTCGGGTTCGATGCTAGCCATGTACAGCTCCTAACTGATGCACCAGGGTCCGTGGTTCTTCCCACTGGTGCAAACATAAAGAGGGCACTTGGTCACATGATTGATCAAGCTGAAGCAGGGGATGTTCTGTTCTTCCATTATAGTGGACATGGAACATGGATTCCATCCAACAAACCTGGCCATGCTTTCAGGCAGGATGAGGCTATTGTGCCCTGCGATTTTAATCTCATTACTGGTAAATGTTTTTAAATATCCAGGCCATATGCGATCAGGCGTATGCATGTTAGGATTAAGATCAGACGACTGTATCAAGCATGACTATGATCAGCAACATTATTTTGAGTTCTTAAGGTTTTCCTGTAGGATTCAGTTGCCAGCGAATAACGTTATTCTCTATTATGCAGATGTGGATTTCAGGCAGTTAGTGAACCGGCTGCCAAAAGGGGCAAGCTTAACCATCCTTTCTGATTCATGCCACAGTGGTGGCCTAATTGACAAAGAGAAAGAGCAAATAGGGCCTAATGCCACCATCACAGCAAATAATACCACAGTGCATTCTCCTAACCCTAAATCCATCCCATTTGAATCAATACTGCAACACCTTACATCTCTAACGAACATTAACACATCTGATGTTGGCACCCACTTGTTAGAGTTTTTTGGATCTGATGCCAGCCTCAAGTACAGATTGCCACCACTTGAATGGGACCTATTTGACTCACTAAAACCAGACGAGGGAATTTTACTTAGTGGCTGCCAAGCAAATGAGACTTCCGCTGATATGAGCCCGAATGAGGGTGGAGGAAAAGCGTATGGGGCATTTAGCAACGCAGTGCAGATGGTGTTGAAGCAACATTCAGGTCAACTTAGTAATAAGCAGCTTGTGACAATGGCCAGCGAGGTGTTACAGGCACAAGGGTTTGAGCAACAGCATCCTTGCTTGTATTGTAGTGATCAGAATGCTATTGCTACTTTCTTGTGGCAGCCTGAATTCTAGGTTGCTAAGCTCATGAGGTCGTCGGCTGGTGGTTGTCTGTGCTTTGATCTGTCACTTGCCTTGTGCTTGTTGCAATAAACGTGGCATCCAATAAAGAGGCTCACGTCCTTGTGCCTCTCCTCAAAGCTTTGACAAACATTTATTCTTGCATAATGTCTTGTGAACAGCAATTAATTTGATCGATGAACTTCTTACCAAACACTCAAAGTTTTCTTCTCAATATCTGAACCACCAATGTCGGATAAAGATGGGCCGGCTGTTAATCCGAACAATTATTTGTCTAAATTTAAGAAAATCGTTATTTGTTGAGGCCTCTAAATAAGTTATGCCAGTACTGAAGATTCAGACATTCAACTATCAATAAAGCATTAAATATGTTACTTTATTTTCTTTTAAATAGTTTATTTCAAGTCATTTTATTTAGATTTCTATTAGTTTACTCTGCCGTGTGCTACACTGTGATTCAAATAAAAACATGTTTGTTTGTTGAAAAATAAAAATTATCTTTTTGATTGTTGAAAAATAGATTTTTTTTTAAAAGTTCAAGAAAGTAAATTTCAGAAAAATAAATTATATTTTTTATATTTGATAGTATAATAAAAAATAAATTAGAAAACACTTTCTAGTATTTGGTTATGTTATGGAAAATGAACTGAAAAATAATTTATTAATGTTTTATTTTTCTCAAGTTTATTAAAATAATAAGAAAAAAATCTTATAAATGAAAATTTTAAATGAGAATGAAATTAAAAAATATATAATTTCATAAATTTTCTCAAATAAAATAAATAATAATTAAAATAACAAAGATCAAATCTAAAAATAAAAAAATAAAAGATGAAGAAATTAAAATAATAATAATAAAAATTTCATAAATTATTTCAAATAAAATAAATAATAATCAAAAGAATGAGGACCAAATTTGAAAGATAAAAAATTTCAATAAAAAAATAAGAGAAAAGACAAATAACAATTATAAAAATGAGGACCAGAGTCAATATGAAAATTAAATTTTAAGAGATAAAATTAAAAAATAAATATTCAAAATAAAATATATATAGCAATCAAAAGTTTGAGGACCAAATTTGATATAATCAGCAAATAATATGATATTATAAATTTTTCATAACTTCCAGAAATTGTTTTCAACTCAAAATAAAAGAAAAATATTTTTCTAAAAATAAGCTAAATTTTTCTTTGACTGAAAAGTATTTTCTATTGATCAACTTTTTTAATAGCAAACAAATTTAAAAAAGTTTAGAAAGTAATTTTCAGGAAACCACTTTTCAAGAAATAAATATAATTTTAATGTAAAACAAATGTCTAGTAGAAGGGATTATTTTTTATTTTTATTAAATCCAATATAACGAATGAATCTTGAAATTTTTTTATCTAACTTTTTATCTATATTAAATTTAGATTAAATTATGTGAAATTGACCTAATCGACTTGATAAAAGCAATCTAGAAGAATAGCAAAAAACATGATTTAACTTTAAAAAAAATTTATGATTTTTTTTTAATATTAAAATGGCGATATATTGGATCGACCCAAACTTCATAAATTTTCCTATAAGCTTCACGATTCAGGTTATAGACTCCATTGGGTTTAAGAATTTTATTTTATTATTATTTTTTATTTAATTATAACCACAAATCAAATCTCGGAATGATTATTCAAGACTACAATAATTTAATTTATAGCAAACAAATAAAAAAAATATGAAAAAAAATCAAAATAAAGCAAAAATCAAAGAACAAAATTGAGGAAAGAAGATGAAAATGAAAAAGTGAAAAGGAAAGAAATGTAAAAAAAAATAAAAATGAATCATATGAATAGTGAATTACGAGGAGTCTCCTCTCTTTTATGTATCAAGTAATTTATTTTATTTCTGTGTATTTTTTTTCTTTGTAACCCATGATTAAAACAAACAAACAGACCACAATAGCTTGGCCTGGATAATTGTTTGAAAGCAAACAAATCTCTACCCCACCTCTTTGTTCTTGGTTTTAGGCTTTAACTGAGATGATGAACATGGGTCAAAGAAGCCACAGAACATAAACACATCCATGTCCTTAACTAGAAAGGTGTCAAGAGGTCCAAATCTTGTATCCAGCAGCATGAGACTGAAGAGAATGACAAGATAAGCTAACACCAAAAACCCTTTCATCATTGCTCAACATTTGACAGTATCGCAGAGAAAACGCGTCCATCCTCCCCAAAACATCCGCCTGTGAGCCTCGGCACTGTTGTTTTGTGGTGGGGTGTGAGGACGGGTAACTTTTATAAAAGCAAAGACATGTAGTAGTTAAAAGACATGGCATCCTGCCCCGTGCTTGAGGTGGCAGGGAAGTCCTGGAAAATGATGTCTCGTTATCTCCTTCATCACATCACCACTCCTTTCCTTTATGTGCCAGTTAAAGCGTACAGCACATTACACGAGAAAGTGATTCATCTTGGATACTTCCTCCTTTAGCCACGCTGAAACGGAATGTTCCTGCAAGTCAATCAAAGATCGATGGAGTTCTTGGAAATTATGAAGAGATATTTCTTTTCATTTTCTCTTGCTCTTAAGATAGCATAACTCCAATGAAACCCAGTTTTTGACAATTCAAAAGGCTTGCTTTTGAGCACTGATTGTCTTCAAACCAATAGGTTAATTATGCAGTTTGATTCTTACAGAGCTATTACTTTGATTAAAGATGAAAATGTAGCAGACAATTCTAAAAGCTATATATAAAAAACACGAGAAAGCTAAGAGATTAGATATGCAGAGAGGATTAGAAGCTGTAATGTTTGTGTGATCAGATGTAGCTGACAATCACAAAACGTAGCAGACACATGTATCTACTACAGCCTATATATGGGATAAGAGTACAATTCTGCAAGTATATATACACATGAATTTGCAATGGTAAAACGTTTTGGTGGTTCCAAGTGATCATGTCTCAAGACTAGGATTATATCCTCGTTAAACATTGACCAAAATGGGAGAGGATGTAGACAAGATATCGAAAAATCACCCCAAGACCTAGCTAGAATTAGTTGGTTGAATTGGATGAGCACATATGCCAACACAAATTTTGTTAAATGGTTGCAATCCTCTAAAAAAAAAAAAAACCCAAAAACGTAATGATATTAAATGATGCAACTTATAGCCAAAAAAAAATAGGGTTTTTAAAATCCTAATATTATAGCAAATTTGATATATTTGGAAATTAAGGACGATGAACATTAAAAATTGACTAGAGAGATAATACATCAACTATTTATATATTAAGAAAATTGACTTATAATCTATATATGAAAAAACAATAGGGAAATAGTTAAAATATGGAAATAGCTAGAAAAATAAAAAATAAAAAATAAACATGATCTTTTGCTTCTAATTTAATTAAAGGCATTTTTAATTTTAGCTTGGTGGAACAAGTTGATTCTTCGTAAAATTAGATCTGTAAAATCTCTTAATAAAATTTAAATATGATGCAATAATCAAAATAAAAATAATGATTGTTTTTTTTAGCTTGATCATTTCACACATTTATTTATTTATTTATTTTTGAAATTTGCTTTGTTTAACTTGTTCATCAACACATCAACAAGATGTTCCATGCCATTAATTGCATTTCTGGGTTCAATTTAATTTATATAATATACAATAAAAGATTTTCAAGGCCAAAAGTATGAAGCATCCATGTATTGCACTCAATTTAAACAACTAGAGCCATTGAAACCCCATGCCATCTTTCACATCTTGAGTAGCATATACTACAACTTGCCAAGAACATAAAATAAACGAATCAGGGTGAAAAAAGCAGCCTCATCGCACTTTATTTTTCTTGAGCTCATCAGATTTTGCCTGGCAATCTGAAAATCAAAGGGCTGTCATAAACTAGTCCCCCACCACATCCCACCATCAGTGGTCTGAGCTCTTCCAAAAAGGAACCCACGTACATGGCTTTAATCACTCTCTCTTTTTGCCTCTCCCTCTCTCTCTTTTCTTCTTGTTGTGTTATAATGTTTTCTCAATTGCTTTAACTTTAAGGCACAAGATCACATCTTCTTTCTTGCTCACAATTTATTACATGGCATCCCTCTTTTAACACAACTGTTTCGCCCCAAAAGAGAAAGCACAGGTAGAGAAGGAGCTGGAGAAATATGAAGGGACAAGATCCCTCGCTCTCTTCATCTTCCCGGCGAGAAAGCTCTCCGGCACCCGAGAAAATTCGTTCAAAGAGCATCGGGTGCATGTCTGGCATTTTCCAAGTAGTTTACAAGTACCACAATCGCCGTAGATTCCTCACTTTTGGTAAATTTCTTTGCTGATTTCTCTCTTATTGCAAGCTCGTAAATTTATTAACGAACTACTTAATTTGAAAGCTTAGGCTGTTGGAAGTAGACGAGTAATTGTAATTAATTATATTATCTTACATTATTTTTCCAGGGAAAAAGCATGAAAGAAATGGAGTTTCTTCACCAACAACAAAAACAAAGCAAAAACCAAGACCAACACCATCACAACCTTCTGCTTCACCATCTTCTTCTTCCACTTCATTACAACAAGAAAACAAAGATCCCCCAAGATTCTCGTGTGATATAGTACCAAGAAGTCCAGCATTGCCAGCAGAAATAAGGCGTTCAAAATCCTTGAACTCCCCTGAACGTTTCCGGGCTCCACCAGCCCTGGTGGCAAGACTAATGGGGCTGAGTGATATTCCACCATTGACAGCCTCCGAATTGGCCGTGGCCGAGAAGAGAAGGAGGCTGCTAGGTGCACTGGAAAAATGCGATGAAGACTTAAAAGCACTAAAGAAAATAATCGATGTAGTGAAGAGTAGTGTAGCTGGCACTGGTAATGATGCTGATGATGAGGGAAGACCAGAGAAAGGTCATGACCATCCATTGTTGCAGCAACCTAGCCCTGTGTCCGTGCTTGACGAGTTCACGCCTTCAGCCTTCAGTGGATTCTCCAAACGTTACACCATTAATGGTAAGATCTTGTTCTCTTCATTGATTACAATTTTATTATTAGCTACCTGTTGCCTTTTCTTTTGACCATTACACACACACACACATAAGTACATGCATGAAAACACTAAATATATAATTTTAAAAAATTCCTTTTTTTCCTGCATGATTCATTCTTAATTTTTCTTACATGTAATCACCAAGTTCTTCATCCGTTTCCTGTCTTTTTTTTTATGTTCATATTTGTTTTTTATGTTTCAATTTGTTACCGTTTGGAGATTGCTCATAGTAACCTAGACCGGTTCTGCCGGTCAAAGCCAAGTTTTTAACAAAAAAAACTAAAATAAAGGTGAATTGACTGAACGTGATGTAGTTAAAATCTTATATTATTTCAAATTTTAGTTGATTCATCAAAATAATATATATATATATATATATATATATAAATAAAAAAATAAGATAGTCCTTTCAATTCTTGATCTAGAACATGCACTGGTTTGAATACCGGCTTAGATTTTTTAAGCAAAAACACTAACTTTTTGTTTTAGGCAAAAGCATCCTTTTTTGGATTAGGCTAATTAACAATCATGCAGATTAAACAAACATAGTCTTCTTCTTTGGTCTTTTTGTCTTGTTAACCTTTTCTTTTTGGTATTTAAGATAAAGGGATAGACAAAACGTACTTTTGTGTTTTTTTTTGTTGGGATAAATGTTTTTTTTTCTGTTTTAATTTTTTAAAATGAATTTTTGTTTAAAAATATATTAAATTATTTTTTTTGTTTTTTTCAAATAATTTTAATATACTAATATTAAAAATAAAAAAAATATATATTATTTAGATATATTTTTTGTTAAAAAATACCATACGTACACTATAATATCAAATACAAACACCAACAAGTATTCTAGCTCAAGTGTTCTCATCATGGATAATTTATGTTTTTTTATAGAAATTCTCAAACCTAATTGAGTATTATTTTTAATTTAATTCATCATAGACATTATAATTTAAATAATAGGATGGTAAACGATGTACCTATCTAAATCATAATTATTAGTGTTAATTATTAGTGTAAATCACATGCTGTGGGATCTCACAACTCATAAGGACATGATAGACACCAACGGTCCAGTAATTGCAATATTAATACACCAAATTTATTGTCCCAATCAAGTATTTTAGTTGGTTTTTCATTTTCTAATTATGTGGGTATTTTTTAAAAAAACAAAACGTGCCCTCTAAAATAAAAATATTTTTAATACATTTAAAATATTTTATTATCTTAATGTGGCACCTATCCTCTTTTTTGAATTGACTGCATTCCTTTATCAAGCAATTCTCTTCATCGTGATTTCATCGACTTTCTATTTATGTTAAAGCCACACTATATTCATTTATCTAGTTAAAATAATAGATATTTTAATTGCATTAAGTCTTTACATGGACGACATGCAATAAATGAAAAGAGTTTTACCTCTTGAAATGATTTATTTAAATTTTTTAAAGATTTATATTAATTCAAAGTATTTATTAAAAAATAGTTTTATTTTAAAAGTATTTTTTACAAAAAAAGAATCCACATAAGATAATAAAAAATTGAAAAAATTATTTCCATATTAAAAAAAATGACAAATTGACTAGAGCACTTGATTGGCATAATAAAAACAAATAAATTCAGTGTATCAAAATGAAAAACATTAAAGTTAATGCACTTTATTTAAATAACATAAAAACTAAGAGTACCAATGATGATTTAAGGGTAAATAACATGCTGTCAAATAACAGAAAAATTGATGGAATGTGAATGGAAGTGCTTGATCGGGATTTAAATAAAAAAATCGATGCACTAAAATGAAAATAAAAATAAAATCCATATACTAAATTGAGAAAAAAATGCAAATGCTACTGGGACTTCCGTTATTTCGCCGCCGTTTTGGATTGTAGCCCAAACAGAAACGGCTTAAAAAATAAAATAATTTTTTTATGATTTTAAATCATTTTAATATGTGAATATTAAAAATAAAAAATATTTTAATATATTTTTAAATTAAAATAACTTTAAAAACAACCACACCAAAGAAGACAACGTTGAATCTCCCCCATGGAAAGGGCCACCCAACCACCCAGTAGCCAGCCATCTCTCTAGGATTCCCAAGGTAGCAATCATGGCGTCTTGTGCTGGGAGCATTGTAACAGTTGTAGTGGGAGACACGATCCCTGCTGCGTGCAATTATCAATAATAATCATCAACCACATTAATTTGGCTTCCAGCTGGTGACCACAATTAATTACGGTGCTTATCCAAAGTTACAAACTTGATT